TCAAAGACTTTATTATTATTAATTTTTTGTATAATCACAATTTTTCCGACACGTCACTTGAAAATCTGATATAAAATTTTAAAATTTTTGTATTTTTTTTTTTTTATATATAAAAATAATGCAAAAATATGTCTTCCTCTTCTAATGTCGCGCTCGATGCTACCATAAAAACTAACCAAACAACACCTTATGCTAATTCCATTAAAGAATATTTTAGCAATAAGGGGTATGTGTTTTATATTGGATTAGGACTTACCACTGTGGTTTTAACTGGAGTTGGTCTATATTTCCTTCAAGCACCTAAACCACCTAAACCAAAAAGCACACGTTCTACCTCTCGCAGAAAAGTACAAAAAACCAACAAGTCAAGTGGAAAAAACGAATCAACAGGTGGATTTCACAAATACATGTGACATTTTAAAAATTATTTTTTCTAAAAAGCAAATTAACCTATTATTTTAATTTTTAATTTTTTTTTTGCTTTAGAAACTACAAGAAACAGAGAAGAGGATGCGGAGGCCGAAGAATATGAAAGATATACCATTGATCAAATAAATGCCTTACCAAAAGAGGTAAGTATAAGTTGAATGTTTTTTGTATATATCTATGTGCGTATGTACAATTATATTTTTTATAGATCAAATTTAAATATTGTTAATAGAAACGAGTAACAGCTTCACAATTGCTTAAAGTTCGTGGAAATACAGCTTTTGGTAAAGGCAATTATGAAAAGGCAATTAAGCTCTATACACAAGCACTTGCATTTCATCAAGATCCTATATTCTATGGCAATCGAGCCGCATGTTATTTTAGCAAAAAAGAATTTCAGAAAACTATTGAAGATTGCAATAGCTCATTGGAAATGGATCCTTATTATGTCAAAGCATTGAACAGAAGAGCAATGGCTTATGAAGAACTTTCACAATTTGAAGAATCTTTATATGGTGATTAATTATATCTGATTTTTTATTTATTTAAATTTATTTATTTATTTATTTTAATATTTATTTGTTTAAAAGATTTTACTGCTGCATGTATAATTAATGATTACAAAAATGAAAAGGCTGTTAAAGCTATTGAACGGCTTTTAAAGAAATTAGCTACAATTAAAACTCAAGAAATAATGCAGGTTATTTTCTATACTTTTCAATTCTTTATATTGTATATACACACTTATATTTTTTTAATTTCAATAATTGTATACATATATATAATATGAATGAATTTATGACATTGATTTTATTAACAAAGGCTAGACCAAAACGTCTTCCATCACCAGCACTTATTTCTTTACATTTAGAAACATTTAAAAAGGGTATATTTAATATTTACAATAATAACTACTATCTACAAAATTTTTATTTTTCTCAATATATATATTGATGAATTACCAAATTTGATTTTTCAGCAACTTTTGAAGTGATAAATACTCAACCTGTGATTTCTCAAGAGGATAAAACTGGTGATAATTATTTTAATGATGCACAAGAGTTCTTGTTGCAGCAAAAATACTATGATGCATTGGAGGCTTTTGATAAAGCCATTAAACTCAAATGCGAACATCTTGATTATGCTTATAATATGCGAGGGACCTTCGCCTATTTATTGGGTGATATAGAAGATGCATTAGGCTATTTTGATAAGGCTCTTCAGCTGTCACCTAATTATGTACAAATTTATATCAAACGTGCAACTATTTACATGGAACAAAACAGTAAGTGTGGAATTTGATTACATTTGACTAAGGGTTTATTAATTAATAATTAATAATTTTGGATTGACTTCTAATATTATCTTTGGTTCGTTAGAACCTTTTCAAGAATGCTTGGAGGAGTTTTCAAAGGCTATTGAAATTGATAAGGATGATCCTGATATATATTATCACAGGTAAGCAAACATTATCTATTAATAATAGATTAATAGTACATTGTTTAATTTTTAATCTATTTTCTTAATTTCTCTATTATTTCTATTATTTAGAGGACAAGGTAAAACAATTTTTTTTTGCATTCATTGAAAATTTAATTATTTAAAAGCCTAAAAAAATATTTTCAATTCTATATGTTTTAACTATATAGTATACTTTTTAAATAATGAATTTTCAAAGGCTATTGAAGATTATGAACGTAGAATAGAGCTTGATCCAGAGTTTGTTTTTGCATACGTACAGCTTGCTCTGTGCAAATATAAAACTAAAGGAATAGTAGATGCAATTAAAGTTTGTGAAGATGCAATAAGGAAGTTTAGTGATTCAGCAGAAATTTACAATTATTATGGTGAACTGTTGGTTGAAAGCGGTGATATTACTTCAGGAATGGAAAAATTTGATAAGGCTATTGAATATACTAAAGGAAAATTTGTGTTGCCTTTAATAAATAAAGCAATGCTTTACTTACATCCTAATTCTACTAACAATTTTAATGCTGCCGAGGATCATTGTAAACGAGCTTTGGAAAGTCTGTATTATATTTTTTTTAAAAATTTTTTAAATATTTGATTGCATAGTAATATTTTTTCCTTTAAAAAAATTTTATAATAATATAGTCGATCCAGATAGTGACCTAGCAAATTTAATTATGGGCGAAGTTTTATTGACGAAAAATGATTGGGAAAGAGCTTTACAATATTTTGAAAAGTATCAAGAATTTCCGAGAACCGAACATGAACTTATAGTTGTTCAGGAATATATAGAGGTGATTTTTTCAAAATTTTTTTTTTAAAAAAAAATGAAATATATCATTAATCATTTTTATTTATCCATCCACCCACCAATTCATTTTAATTGATCATAATAAATAGGCTGCAAAATCTCGTATTGCCTTCAAGAAAAAATATCCACAAGTATCATCTGATCATTCATTTGGAAA